TTCCTGTTCGACCCCCTGAAAGAAGGAACCTAGACCAGCCATTGATTCCAGGTCTCCCTAAGTACATACCCATCCAACCAAAATACGCAGCTCTCTCTCTCTCTCTCTCTCGTGCTTTGTCTCCCCACACCGTCACCTCACCACCCTACTCCCCCCTCTTTCGGTTCTCCAGGGCCGTGCTGACCGGTTGTGCCACGCGCAGCTCGCTCGATCGCACATCCGCGATCCAAACAGCGATGGGGATAGAAGACCAAACCATGTGAAGAGACTTGCACCGATCCACCAATTCTTCATCTGGCTGTTTCAAATGATAGTGTCTGGTTCCATCAACATGGCGGAGCCATGAGCACCAAAGGATAAATTGACATCTTGAGTTCTGCAGCAAATCTGGGAGCAGCCAGGCCACCCACGTCACCCTGATTCTGTATGGTTGGCGTATATAAAGCTTCTGCATGACTGCATGCGATTCTGTATTTTGCAAGATATGCTAAAAGAATCCTTGGACCCAATGAAGAGTGGCTAGACGTCGCACTATCAATCCACACCTCATAGATCCTCATGTTGTGTCTATAAACATGCATTGGCTCAAAGATGCTTAAAGCAAAAAACATGCGACAAAGCGAACCTGATATAGGTTGTCAAATAGTCAGTGAACCATTGAACCATGCTTCGGCACATGAAACGTCACATCTCCACAACTCTGCAGCTTGATGTGGGGATGACCCAAGACGGCTCAACCATTTAGGATCATTTAGGGTATTGTACCACCTCACCCACATTGTAAATAACCACATCCGCAGAATCTGCTCCCAATTGCTATGACCTGTCAAGCCTAGGTCGATCAGTTCAGTTCCTTGCTTTCAGGTCGATCTTCCCGTTCGCCCAGGCACGTCAACCTGGATCATGAAAGACGTGTCCTTGGTCTTCGGGAGATCAGGGCCGAAAGCAACAGTTGAACAGTTGCTTTAAAACCCTATGATTGGGTTGGGTCGAACCCACGTGCGTGGACATAGATGATCATTGATTGCAATTTTTCTGAGAATGGAGATTTTTGAGTTTTTTTTTGTGGGACAAACGATGCCAGTTCTAGGGTTGGAATCTCCAGTCCAGCACGAAATTGAGCACTCAAAAGCTGGCCGGAACCGTGATCGGTGGAGAAATATGCCAAGTTCATTGCTGTTTGAGGAACCAGAAACTATATAGGGGGCTCCTGGCCTTACTAGAAACCAGAAGCTACATTTGTATCCACCCAGGGGATCCACGTTCCAACCACGAAAGACTCAAGAGGTGATCGACCAAAAACATCGACCTTTGGTCTCGGGACGACTTGATCGATTGCATCGGATCATCCTCAAACACTTCGATGCACTACTGATCACAACAAGCAACGTCTTGGATGGGGCAAAGAACCATGGCATTTGAGTGGAACTTCATGTGCTTCTGGGATCACCATCTTGGATGGTTGCTTGGTTCTGACATTAATATGTCAAGGACGTGTGGCGCTCCACCGAAAAATCAAAAACATGTCGGAAGAAAACGGGTTACACTCCCTGGAACTAACATGGAAGCGGAGAATGGCCCTTTGGAAGACCATTTTCCACTACAAGCAGGTGGTTTTCTACTTCCATGCATGTTAGTTCCAGGATGTTCCAGGGAGAGTGCAAGAGATTCGCGCCACCTGTTTGGTCATCGGATGTCTTCGGACTGGTGATCTCGGGGCCTCGCAAAAGCATGCGTTCTCCACGCCATGATGATTTCAGGGGGTGTAGTAGACGAGGCTTAGACCCTCCTGACGAGGCTTTGTGTCTAAATCCAAAGAACCCATCCTGCAAGGTCCCCCTAACGTCTCCCTGTGAAAACCCGGAGCCTTCCAATCACCAGGCTAAAGAGCTCCGTCCGAGTGAGGAGAGTAGGCATGTCTTAATGTTGAGTACTTGGTGGTCGCCCTAAGGCGCAGCATCTGACCCAAACGCACAGCACGACCTCCAAGGATTGTCTCAAACAACATTGGGAAACCCTGCGCGCAAGCAACAAATTGTGATCCTGTGACACTTCGTGGTGTAGAGCCAAAGTACAAAAAATAATCCCGAGCACCTACTAAAAAACGGACCCCTATTTAAAACAGTCATGTCGGACCCCCCTATATATATTGTGAACGCACCGACACAAGGCACTTGTTCGCTCGATATGGCGTAGC